TTGAACACTTTTTAGAATATACTGGAGAATGTTCATCAGAAGTGCTTCTTCATATTCAAATGAATAATGCCACTAGATATTGTCTGCACATTTTCTCATAGACCATCACTACACTGCAAAGGAAATACATTGTCTGTGACTTTTTCATACTGAAAAAGGTGCTACTTGCAGAAGATAGTTTATTATAAATAACTACTAAGATGATAATCTCACCACAGCATGCTTGGCAGTCTTCCACTGAGTTAGCCTGTTTCAGCAAGGAGCTGTCGCTTAAGATACAAAGCAATCTGCAGGGACATATGATCACACACACTGGCTGTTTTCTCTGTCATCATGGATGCCTCATCATTTGCTGTGCCTGTAATTAGGAACTGGAATTATTATCTGGTAAACCAGGAGGATCTAGCACCAGAAAGATGGACCTGAGTCTCTGTCTCCCAGACGCTTGGTTACACAGAAGTTCTCAGTTACGGAGGCACTTGTAGAAGAACGTCTGTTGGACATGGCTGTAGTTTTGTTTTGTTTTTATTTTTGTCACAAGGATAGTTGTGAACTACTGGGGAAACTCTTGATGTATATATAATGCTTACAGTACTCCTTCCTGTTAAAAATTATGGAGAAATATAAGACTGGCAATGGTGTAAAGAAGACTTTTTTATTGTTGTCTTTGTTTGGGTTAATAATGACTTCAAGTTCTCTGAATGTTTTGTTTTGTAGAAATACTGTCCAAAAGGAAGACCATGATAAAGAGATAAGAGTCTGCATCCATTTTTATGAGAGTATCAGAAAACTAATATTAATATGTATTATACACTTAGTGTCAAGATCTGACTGTAGTCACATAACTTGATGGTGACTTTTGAATTTGAAAAGTTTATACTACTTTATGGTGCATGGCTGTTATGTTATTGCAGCAGTTATGTGATGGGTATCAGTGGCTGTTGTATGCAAACTTCGTTTCGTTTAGAGTGCTGGCAAGTGTTTGTCTTTTATTTGTTTAAAAACAATTTGATCCGGCCATCTCTAGTGCCTTGTTGACAGTATAATATGAATTAGAACTCTTTCTGGCTTCCATGTTACTTGTGGGTTCTGTTCTTTGGTGCCTGATGCTTTTCAGTCCTAACAACTTGTATTTCAAGCCTGGGCATCTCTGGTTGCTTAGAAGTATGGAATATGATATTTAGTGGAAGCAATTGGTAAGATGGAGGTAGATCTAATAAAGATACGAAAAATTATGATGCAATTTTTTTTTCTCCTGCGTTTGGCAGATCATGTTAAATCCTGTATGTATCTCAGCAAGATCAAGGAGAAAGCAGGAGATGAAGAATTTAGTCAGACACTGACTTGCAAGCCTTAATATCAACCCTTTTTTTCAAACCTTGCAAGTGTTTGGAATTGACTCTCGCCTGGACAGAGATGCTAACTCTTTATCTAGTGATAGTATCCTTCCCTACAAAGTCTACAAAGGCTCTGTTCTTTTCCTGTGAAATTGTGGGAGCAGATCAATGATGAAACGGGTCCTGCTTGCACATCAGATGAAGAAATTACTGGAATTACTTCCTGATGTTCAATGTCCCATGCATGACTGTGGAATGTTCTTCATCTCTTAACATCTGACCTAGATGCCTTTACATTTTGGGATGGTTGCTCAGAGTCTTTCATGCCCATAAGTTGCCTAACTTGGGTGACCTTGTGTCTTTAAAGAAAACCCCATGGAACTGTTAGCTTCAACCTTACTGAAGGACACATTCTGAAGAGCTAGCTCATTAAGCAAGCTTTGAAGGGTGTGCTCTGCAGAGCAGCTTCCTGTTATTTGGTTAATGGTTGACCTAGTTCTATTGCCATATGCCTCCTGGAACGCATTCTAATATTAAATGTGTGCTAAAGCAAGACTGGGATAATAGAAGGAACATCAAAGCCTCTATGAAAGAGAAATCATATAATGCTGTTGCATTTTGGAGGGTATCGCCGTTACTTAAAATGGCAGTATCTTCACGGAACTGTATTGATTCTGATTGCAAACTAGGGAGTATTAAACAGAACCATTTATGTTTTTTTTTTTTTCCAGACTGGCCTTGTACAAAAGGTTTGTATCAGTAATTCCCTGTGCTCCATATGTGAGGCTAAAGTTAGGTAGTGAAGCATTCAGAGTGATATTACAGCTGTGAGAAAAGATTACATTAGATTTGGCTAAAGGCAGGAGGATTTTTTCCCCGTGGTAGGTGTTTTTTCCATTGCAGCCATGGATTAGCAAATTTTTTCTTTCTCTGAATGCTGGCTAGAAGCCAGAAATGGGTATTCAAGCTTTTACCTGATAACAGAGACGACACAGCATACTTACACTTGGGCAAAAATGTAAGAAATTTGGAGGTACTACATAAAGTTCAACCTCCAACCTGAATGAGACTTTCTGACAAGCTGAAGTTCTGGAGAACCTGTGGGTTGTGTTGTCTGGCTAATTTGATATGCTACCATAGGAAAAAGAAAGGATGTATAATAGCAACTGTTTTTCATAAGTAAGTGTGCATTATGGTAGAACAGGGGGAAGGGAAAATTAAAGCCATGCTTTGTAATTTTTTGAGACCTCATGACTCTATCAGTAGATGTTGGTGATTTATTTTTCTTATGTCAATGTGGGAAACTGAGCTGCTCACCAGCTGTACCACTTCGAATTTTCATATGCCCAGGCAGTGGCTAACCTTTGTCTCTTCAGTTGCAGATGGCTGGCAAGCAGTCCAAGCGTGAATTCTGGGCAAAGGTATGTCACCACAGTGGCAGGGGTTGCTGGGCCACCCGAGTTTATCTGTGTGGGAAGAAATAAGCTGTCAGGACCTGTAAAGGCAGCTGTCGCTGATGGGCATCACTGCCTAACCTTCAGAGAAGTGGTGGGATATCTTGGGAGTCATAGTCATCTTGTAGCTCTCCAGCTTCTTCAGTGTGAGCCCATTCATGTGCTGCTTGTGAGTCTGGGCTCATTTGGTGAGGCTATGGATATTTTGGTGTGTTTGTCTAGGATACATGTAGCAACAGCATTTATGCAGTTCCCCCTTCTTCCTTAGTGTGTAACACTGAATGGCGTTTTTGTAGGAGAGCTGCTGGGTCTGGTGGAAAACAGAGCTGCAACATTTTTAGTAGGACACAATGTGTTGTGTGAGCTGCAATCATATTGGTCATGAAAAAAAAAAAATCTCTGCTCTGTGACTTAAACAAGCACAGCTATTTGTGCAACCTGATCAGAACAAAGGATAATGCTTCTGCTGCAAGATCAGACAGATCTGACGTTTCAGCAGGCTGAGCAAATGAATGGCGGAAGTGGTCCGCCTCCTCTTATCCATTGTCTCAAAGATACAGGCTCATGGAGAAGTAAGGGAGTTTGAATAGGGCCTCTGAAGGAATATGCTGCTTTGTGTTCTGTGGGAAGAGAGCAAAGGAGGAGTTCTAGAAGTTCTCTGGCAGGCTGACAAGCTTGTAATAGGAAAATGTGGCAGTGGACTTCTGGTATTGAACGAGCACTTTCTCTTCTGTAGCCTGCTTAGGAAATCTTAACTGTTATTAGGAAGCTGGTGAAATGTTCCAGGCCTGGAATATAGGACCAAGCCTACCTTGAATGAGGGTCAGTGAATGTAGAAATCCAATGAACTCTGACCTCCTAGTAAAGAATGATTTGAGATTTTTTTTTCCTTTTCTTTTCTTGTTTTCTTTCCCTGTCTCCCTAGATACATTGTTTGCGTGTTCTGGGACACCTCTCAATTGATAGGATTTTTGCATAGGAAGAACTGGACTGATCAAATTACTGGAACAGTTACAGTCTTCTGCTTGGGAGACTCCTGCTGTTTCTCTTGCTCCAGCCGTCAACCCCACTGGGATTTTAGTAGCAATCTCCCCTTTTAAAGGCATAATGAATCCAAGGAAATGTGAGAAGGGAGAGGGCAGGACAGGGATTTTTGATAAGCTGGGCAGAATTAAGGGTTACTTCACATTCCAGAATTATAATATATGACTTCCAGCCTCAAGGGTGATTTCAGCTGAGAAATGAATTGTTTAGAGAGAGGGGTATAGAATTTATATCGGTATCATAGCCGGTTAGATCTCTATATATTACCTTTTTGCATGGTCCTTGGGACTAGAGCTTGCTAGCAGTTAGGTGTATCATGATCAGAAGGCTTTCATATGCAACCAGTTTTCTTTAAAACCAAGCACTTCTTGGCTCAGAGACCCATAACTGTAATTTTTTTAGCAAGCATAATATTCTTCTTTCTTTAAGTTAATGTAGATTAGATTGGTGTCTGTGACAACAGAAGTAGTCTAGGCCATCCATGAGATCCCTTCTGTCCTTTGTTTTCCCACATACAGCCTAGAAGATTTTGTCAATTTAAAAGAGAAGTAATTAGTTCCATAGGATACTGACAGTCCATCGTTAGCATGCAGCAGGGATGAAGTTGCTGCTTTAGAAGCCCAGTTAAAAATGCACATTAGAAAGCCATCAGACTCCTTGAGTGGAAGCCTGTGTTAAAACTTTTAAATGTGTGATGACTAAGCTTCCATGATCAGCATGTTAGTGTCCAAAAGCAGTTATGAAAATTCTCAGAATCACACAGAATCACAGAATGGGTAAGGTTGGAAAGGAATTACTGGAGGTCATCTGGTCCAACCTCTCTGCTCAAGCAGAGAGCCCTAGAGGATATTACTCAGGGTTGTGTCCAGATGATCTTTTAATACCACCACAGAGCAGAGCCTGATCCATCCTCTGACTCCTTCCTGCAGACACTGACAGATGTGGATGAGGTCCCCTCTCAGTCATCTCGAGACTGAACAGCCCCAGCTCCCTCAGCCTTTCCTTGTAACGGAGATGCTTCAGTCCTTAAATCATCTTCAAAGTCCTCTGCTGGACTTACTCCAGGAACTCCAAGTCTCTCTTGTCCTGAGAACCCAGAACTGGACACAGCACTCCAGATGTGCCTCACTAGGGCAGAGCAGAGGGGCAGGATCACATCCCTCACCTTCTGGCAGTGCCTTTCCTCATGCACTCTGGGATACTATAGGCCTTCTTGCCCCCCGGGACACATTGCTGGTTCAGGGGCAGCTGCTTGTCCACCAGGACTCCCATGTCTTACTCCACAGAGCTGCTTTTCAGCAAGTCAATCCCCAGTCTGGCCACTCCTCCCAGTTTTATATTATCAGTGGACTTGCTAAAGAGGCACTCTTTCCCGAGTCATTAAACAACATTGGACCCATTATCATCCCCTGGGGTTACCACTAGTTACAGGTCTCCAACTAGACTGTGCCACTGGTCGTAGTCCTGTGAGACCTGCCATTCAGCCAGTTCTCAATCAACCTCACTATCTGTTCCCTCTTTATTCATTGGAGGGTTAAAACGCATCCCAGAGGATGTGCCATGCTGGGTTTGACCCAACAGAACCTCCAGAATTGGTTTCCAGCTTCTTTGATCCAGAGGGAGTACTGTTGGGGACAGGAAGTAATATTATTTAGTTGCTTTGTTCCTTTATTCAATCATGTTTACACACTGTGTCTAAACTAAGTCCGTGTTATTTTGACAGGATAATCAAAAGGGGATATATTCAAAAAATGTCTAATGGAAATGAGTTCAGTGAGCTTTCAAACCATGCCTGAGTGTGAGGATGAGGGGAAAAATCTCCCACATGGAATTAAATCTGACAAAAAAATCAAGGAGTATTCTCTCAAGCGATAAAGATTTGAGTCTGAAAGTGAGTTCTTTCTGAAAGAACAGTATCAGCCTGGTGCTAAGCAGAGATTAAAAGGTCAGTTGTGTATCAGT